ATGTTATAACGGTTTAAACTGATCACAATACCTACACGTATTATAGTAATAAGCAACAATTGCAAGAATTACTATTTATTTCATTGGAAATGGATCATATAGAAATTGGAAGAAACGGGACTGGGGACGAGTGTTGTCATAACAACCATATAAACAAGCTAAATTGTTCACTTCATTGCACCCGCTAAGTGTGCCAAGTTTCATTGAATTTTATTAAATGATCATCAAGATATCAGATTTTCTTGTTATTGCCACTATTTTGAGTCAAACTAGTGACGTCACAACTCAATATATAGAAAGTGCGATAACTTGGGAATGAGATGAGATACGAACAAACTGTAAACGTCATTCGTCATCATTTTCGCAGTACCTTTTAATAAGACAACAAAAATCGAGGCAAAATTTCGTTTCATAAGCACGATAAGCCACTGATGATCAAGTACATTTCGAGTCTCAATCAAATTTTGAAAATCACGGAAAACTATTGGGTGTTTGTTATAACCTGACTAATCATAGTTCTAAGAAAATAAATAGATTTTCTTGAATAATTTAATGAGGTTGAACAGAATTAAGCAACAAGGAGGTAACATCACATGTTATGTTTAACATTAATAATTGTTATAATTATTGAATATCATTGGCGGCGAACCACGGGTATTTAGAGTTGCTTTCAAAGCTTCTTGCTCAGCACATCTGGATGCTTTGAATGGTAAATCGTGGGTAGTTAAAAAGTTTCTGCCAAAAACACTTGAAGCAGTGCAAGATCTAGGCCAAACACCAGAGGAGCATGCCAGGCGTGTTGTGCAACAATTTGCAACGGAAGCTTCCACCCTTTAGATCTGGAGAAAGTTTTGTTTTTAAAAAAGTCTACCTTGGTGTCACAGATTCTGGTAAAGTTGTGATATTGATGAGAAAAAAGCTGTGAGCTTAAGTGAAATTGATGAGAAAAAAACTGTTGGATTGGATAATATACCCAACAAATTATTGAAAATGGCTGCACAGGTGGTTGCACCTTCACTGACGGGAATATTTTCTGCATCAATACGTACAGGAATCAGGCGTGGATGCATCAGTGCATAATACTCGCATAAGTAGGGGGTCCGGGGGTATCCCCCGGGAAAATTTTGGAATCTAGAACCTTGGAAATGCGATTTCCTGCGTTCTGAGCGAACATTTTATTCAAATTTTGACTTCGAAATCGTAGTACTAATTTCCAAATTTTCAACAAAATATGTTGAAAATTCGGGCTAAATTTTTCGAAAGCAACATAACTATGTCACTTTTATAAAATAAAGTCAAATTACTTTACATGAGCTACTGTATACCAAAACAAAACATTCACCTTACCTTCACAGAGAAATCCACATGTTCCCAAACGAATGGAAGGTAAGCAGGGTGACACCAATATTCAAAACAGGTTCTAATAGTAATCCAAGCAATTACCGACCAATTTCCATTATTCCCGCCATTGCAAAAATTTTTGAGAAAATTATTTCTGACCAATTATATGAATACCTAAACACAAATGAGATTTTAACTTCCTGCCAATCTGGCTTTAGATCGCTACACAGTACGGTAACTGCAATACTTGAAGCCACAAGTGACTGGTACATGAATATTGACAATGGTTTAATCAATGGAGTAGTTTTTATTGATTTAAAAAAAGGGTTTGACACTATCGATCACCAATTAATTATGTTACGAAAGCTAAGAGACTATGGTATTGATCAAATGAGTCTAACCTGCATGGTTTGAATTTTATCTTACCAACCGAACTCAAAAGTGCCGTGTTAACGACCAATTGTCAAATTCTTCCCCGTTGACTTGTCGTGTTCCCCAAGGTAGTAACCGGGGGCCCATCCTTTTTCTGATCCATATAAATGTCCTTCCAAATTGCTTGAATTATGCTATACCTAGAATGTTCGCTGATGACACGAGTATCAGTTATTCAGCAAACACAACAGGTGAGCTCCAAAATGTAATAAACTCTGAGTTAAAAAAGCTTAATGGCTGGCTTATTACTAATAGATTAAGCCTAAATATTGTTAAAACGGAGTTTATGGTAATAGGATCTCACTAAAAATTAAGGTCCATAGATAGCGAAATAAATATTAGAATCAACGAAAATGAAATAAGAGCTTATAATTTATTGGGAGCTTATATTGATAAACACCTTACTTGGCATGATCGTATTGATAAACTATGTAAGAAAGTTGCATCTGCTATTGGTGCACTAAAGCGTGTTAGATCCTTTATAACTACTATTGCATACAAATATACCAAGCGCTCATTCAGCCTCATTTCGACTATTGCTGCACGGTATGGGATGGCCTTGAGGAAACACTCAAGACTAAATTACAAAAATTGCAAAACCGAGCAGCGAGAATTATCATGAGATCAAGTTATGATACCGACGCAAGTGTATTATTAGATAGTCTGCGTTGGGATAACTTGTAATTAAGATGACAAAAACTTAAATTTGGTCTTATGTTTAAAACACTTAAGAGTAATGCTCCCAGTAATTAACAAGAATTCTTTTCCATTCGCGGAACTGGGTATAACCTAAGAAATTCTGAAACGAGGCTGAACTTGCCTAAGCCACGAAAAAATTATTTAAAACGAAGCTTTTGTTATAGCGGTGCCCTATTGTGGAATTGCCTTCCTCAAGAAATAAGAAAGCTTCAAACACAGGCTAAATTTAAAAAAGCTGTTAATAAGTATTTCGACGAATAAACGAGCCCCCACACGGCAATCTTGTAAACCAGTATTAGTATTACTATTGGTTTATTGTCTTTCTTGTAACTACTGTAGATTTTACCGTGTATAAATAAATTGAAAAATAATAATAATAAATAATAATAATAATGATCATTAGTAAGATCATCGAATCATTCCCCTTCAAATGGCTTCTTAACTCTGTTTCTGAAAAAGTTGACTCCTTGCGATTTAGTACCTTAAATGTTCACGGTACCAAAGCTACACAAGTGGTATGAAGCAGTTGACAAACTCCAGTAATGCATGCTATACGGATCTGCTTATTCGACTTTTCCAAAGCCTTAGACCGATTAGATCATAATATTCTATTGAACAAATTTAAATACATGGAGATTCATCCTGTATTGCTCAACTGGATTTCTAATTGCCAAACAGATAGACAACACAGAACCCATGTTGATAAATTGTGGGGTCCCACAGGGAACTAAGCTCCTATTTCTGATCATCATTAATGACTTCGCGGTGTCTGATAAAACAGTTTAATTTGTGGTTGACACCACTCTTCGGGAATCTCCCATTTACCAGCGACTGCCTCTAGTTGCTCAGAATGGTCTATGGTCAACAACATGAATAAAATGTATCAAAGACCAAAGAATAGCGTGTCTGCTTCTCGAACCTGACCCCATCTTACGCTCGCATTACTATCCATGATCAAGATGTCGACGTAGTTTCTGAAGCAAACTTTGATATAATTCAGACGATCTCAAGTGGAATGGCCACATTGATTACATTTGTAAAAAAACTGCGAAACGTTTGTATCGTTTGCGCCTCCTTATCAGGGAAATGCTTTACCTGTTGACGTTTTTATATCAGTTTACTGTACCCATATTCGATCTATTCTTGAATATGCTTGCCAGGTGTAATATCACAACCTTCTCCAGTACCTCACGCAAAATTATCTTTCCATGTGTTGACTATGCTGAATTAACGACTCGTTACGAACGTAGAAATGTACTTTGCAATTGTTTTTTTTTTTCAAATATAATGTTACTCACTCACAAACTGAATGGCTTTGTCCCCTCAAAACATCTCCAAACATACGATTTCATGACTCATCCCAAGCTGCTAGTGCCTAGGTGTAGAACTGAACGTTTCTCAAACAGTTTCGCTTCTGCAGCTGCTCGTGTTCATAATAACAATCAAATTCTCTGTTGTTATAGTACTTTTTATTTCATTACATAACATTTTTACTTGTAAATATAGCAAATACTAAATATTTTATTCTCATACTATGTAATTCCAAAGAAATTCAGTAACTGCAATTTTGGAAAGTAATGATTCTTATTAAATCACATAAAATTAATTTATATCGTTTCCAAGCAAGATAAAGAAGCCTGCCAGGAAAATTTATGTGTAAATCGGTGCACTTGAAAAGACGGCAAAATTTTAAAAGCCAAAATAAAATGATTTGTAGTATAGATTTGTTTCTTTAATAAAATCAGGAACCGTCCATATTATTGTCAAAAATGAGGAACCGTTCATATTACTACCTCTACATTCTCTTCAACTAGCAGCCAGTCTTGTCTTTTCTGTCACTTGTTTTTTAAATTTGAATGTATAATAAAGCAATTATTGATTTCAGCTTACGCACGATAGATTTAACAATTATTCAGGGAAGTTGAGGTGAATAGTGGGAAAATTACGTTGGGTTAAACGCTCGAGAGTGCTTAGAACAAGTCCTATATTTAACGTCATTCGGGGGGTGATGTTGTTTTGCCCGATGGGAGGAAAATATTTTCGGGCTAACTTTCGAACTAAGGTACCGTCAACCTCGCAAGCCAGGCTATCTAATTCCCCGTATTATTTACATATTATTTACATATTTTTTGCCCGACGAACGTGTCGTTAAAATTGCTAAAATTTCCCGAAAAATTGCCTGTTGTACTATAACCGAATAGATTTAATTAACTAACTCTTGCAATTTTTCTACAATTTCCTGTCGAAAAAGAAATAGGTGCATGGAAAACATTAAAATAGCAGCAAATCGCAAAACTGTCAATCCCATCCGTTAATGCCTTTGCTGGTCTTCATTATAGTAGTCAAATTAATGCTTTGTTACAAATAATGTAACCAAGCCATTATTTATTTAAATTAACAGCTTTATTTGGAACTGGTTACTTTACAATACACACATGAGTAACAACCGACAGTTCCCAAACGAGAGAAAGTAGCACAACAACCCATGCATTTTAATTTAAATAATTAATTGAATAGACAATCTAAAAATGGACAATCCTATAATCTATATTCGTCATAACCACATATTTATAACTACATTTGTATTTTTAGATCATTTTGATAAAGGTTTAAGAGAAGCTAAAGAAAATAATCTAAATCTTGCTGAACAATCACTCAGTCAAGCTTTAAAGATTTTATCCGCGTCGCCAAATTCCTCAACATTCAATGGAGAGAAAGCGACATGTTTTCATACCATGGCCGAGATATATTTAACCCGAGCCTCTCAACAGCTGGATGACGACGGTTTTTGTGAAATGACGGTTAAAGGCATCGCTCTATTCGAAGCTGAGCGAATCTACAAGTACGGCAGTTACAAAGAAGACAAAGAAATCAACACGGCCATCATAGAAGCAGAGGTAAAGTTTGTTGATAGAGTATTCGGACCTAGAGGCGTTGAACGCTTTAAGGAAATGAGCGATAGAAGAATACTGAATCGCAAAGAATTGGAAGAAGTTCGTGCAAAAGTCACTAACGAGTATTTCCCCACGCTTGCCCAATTTCCAGACTGGAATACAAAAGACGAAGAAAAAAGATGCCATGAAATAGAAAGTATGTATAAAAAAATTTATGATGACATGAAGGGCTTCCTGGTTGACATTTTGATTCATTGTAGTCAAATTGCAGGTCCAACACCTTGCAGCTTCTCCATCATTGGTCTAGGATCTACATCTAGAAAAGAAGTCACTTCCTACTCTGATTTAGAATTTTCAATTCTGGTTGATGATAACAGCAAAACCCCTTCACCAGAACAACGGCAGTATTTCCGATTTCTGACTTATTTTATTCAAATGCAAATTATCAAATTAGGGGAAACCATTTTGCCAAGTGTTGGCATTTCTAGTTTAAATGATTTCTACAGTAAAAATAAGGAAGATGATTGGTTTTACGACGATGTCATTCCAAAGGGATTTTCGTTCGACGGTATGATGCCATGGGCGTGCAAGACACCTCTTGGAAGAAAAGAATGGCGTGGACAACCTCCACAAGAGTACATCATGACTGTTGATGAAATGTTGAAGCTTCAAGATGTCATTCCTGACTCTTCCATCGAAAGTGTGAAGACTGCAAATGTGTTCAGGAGCGTGTGTCACCTTTTTGGCGACGAAAAACTTACGACGACATACGAGAACAAATTATCAACCAAACTCACTCATATTGACGGCATGAGAAGTTTCCGAGAACAAGTATTGCTGATCATGGAAATTTTTTTGGAAACTTATGACAAGGATGGAATGGCTGCACGACCCTATGGAACACAGCAGGACGTGAAGAAAGAGGTCTATAGATTGACAAGTCTTCTGGTTGAACAATTATCAAAATTATTTGGAATTTTCGGAGAAAGTTTGTGGCAATGTGTACATGAAATGAGGATGAAGAAGATACTCACTGAAGATGGGGCTAAAAACCTACTTGCCGCATTGAGTATCACAACTGAAGTTCGATTAAAGTGTTACCAGAAACAAGGTAGGCAAAAGGAAGCATTACCTACAGTTCCACGACTGTCAGTAACAGAGGACAAAGATATTCTATGCCCCCTCTCGACAGCTATCGTTCGTCTTTATCAAACTCTTATACCGTTAAAATTGGCCGTATTTCAAATCGTAAAAATTTACAAAAATAATGACCTGGATGAACCAGAAACTTTGGTCGTTGCACTCCTTCAACAAGCGAATTTCATGGATATTTCGCCTACAACAACAGCCGCAGCGTACCTACGTGTCTTACAGCTTCCTAAAGTATTCGATTGTTTACTTTCCGCTAAAGGTGAAATAATGGATAATGCCAGAAGGGTGGGAATACTTCGCGTGCTCGCCATTTGTTACCAGATGGTTGGCAAGTTTCACGAAGCCATGGAATGTTGCCGTGAAGTGGAAACCTTGTATACAGGCGCACAGGATGTTGTTGAAACAAGGGCTTTATTAGATGCGTTGAAGATGATCTTGGAAATCTATATGGATCAGGGCCTTTTCCAAGAAGCTGTGCAAATGTATAAAAAAATCTTGGATTTTCAAGAGAGGCAGAATTTGAACGAGAGATTCGTTAAAAATAAATTGGATTTTCTTAACATCAGCGCTGTTCTTTTCCTGAAAATAAAGCAATACGATACAGCTGAAGCCATACTTAGAAGTATCGCCGAGATGCTAAGGAACCTACGGAAGCATGGTACCTGCAGTTACTTTATGTGCTTAAACAACCTTGCTGTCCTTTTACTTCACGTGGACAAGCTTACAGAAGCAAAAACTATGTTGAACGATGCTTTAGAGATTGCCAATGAACTTTATGGAGAAAACGCTGTTCATTCCTATTTTGCTCGCTGTTTGACCAACCTTGGTCAAGTTCATTGCCGCCTCCAGAATTTTGAAGAAGCAGATCGTTTGCTGCAATTGGCGCTGATTATTTATTCTCATCTCCACGACCACGAGTTGATCGAGCCCAGTATTATCGACGCACTAATTCTCAAAGCTCAAATATGCCAGTTTTATGAGCAGTGGGACGAAATGTTCAATTCATTGAACAAAGCGAACGAAATTGCTAATATTCTGTACAATGACTACCCACACCCAACTGTCGCGTCTATACTTTTTTATCTTGGCATTTGTGAACAAGAACGCGGAAAGTTCTCGAAAGCCTTAACCCATTACCAAGACTATTTAAAAATTCACGAAATTGTAAGAATGGAACGTCAACAAAGTGGCCACAGTTGCAACACTGCCAATGTTCTTATACGTATTGCAAAATTGGGAGAATATTGTTCTTATGATGTTTCGTATCGTCTTTCATGCATCGCAAAAGCGCTAGAGATAAAAGCAAAATGCCACGGCAATGAATCTAATCACCGGCATTTGGCTAAATGTTTTGAAAGTCTCTGGTATTTCTTGATAACGGAAAACCGTGAATCAAAATGGTTGGAATATCTAAACAAAGCCATGCAAATGCTCGAAGAGATTAATTTAGATAGTGATAAATTCTATGGGTATGCACACCTAACAATTGGAAATATTTTAGGAAAACAGTCTCCCAGTAAAGCTGAAAAGCTCTTGAGAACTGCAGATGGTTTTTTAAAGAAGACGTTAAAGGACAGTAGTCATGTCGCGCTACTTCAGATCAATTCCTCGCTGCTAAAGATTTTCCTACAAACAAAGAGAATCGATGACGGCTTCGAACTTGCCAAACAACAGCGACGCCTGATTAATATATTGTTATCTAAACCCAGTGTTCCTAACGTTGAACAGCTCTGCCAAGTTGTACATCTTGCCGAGTTTTATGAAGCCAGTGGACGACGAAACACTGCAAAGAACATGTATATTGACCTAATCGCTCGCCTAGAGGAACAAGACGGTACTACTGAACCAGAAAAAGATTATTTAATGCTCCTTCTGTGGAAGATCCAACAACGAGTAGTAGAAATTTTCCAAAATGATGAAATGTTCTGTGATGCAGAAGCCATGTTACAGCGCATTGCCTCGTCAGTTAAAAAAACAAGTTCACAGCGACAATTTGTAGTAAAAGTTCATCATTACACTCTATGGAATCTAGCAGCAATTTTTACGGAAACTGGAAGACACGAACAAGCTTATGAACTGCTTGACGGTCTTATCAACATGTACGAGAAAGACCCCAAATCCATTGATGCCTATACGGCTTCGTGTGCTTTTCGCATACGTGGTGAACTCAATCGTCGACTCCTTCGTTTCAACCTCGCATTGCAAGACCTGAAAAAATCTTTGAAATTAGCCGAAACCTTTCGAGGAACGGCGACTCGTGATGATTTATTGACACAAAACAGTGAAACTTATTATGCTAAAATCATGAACACTATTGGATTAATTTATGAGGAAAGCAACAACGTGGAACGTGCCCGCGAATACTATCTTTCCTGCATAAATACAGTCGCAGGATTACCACCGACCACGGATACAGGAACTTTTCACCAAAATCTGGCGGACACACTGAAGAAGTTAGGACGACGCTATAGTGCATTACAAGAAATCTTTGGAAATCAGGGAAATGCTGCATTCAGAGGATCCGGTAAGAGAAGATATTGCTACCGTGCTTTACCATATAGCTCTTGTCCAGTATACTGACAAAAGACCCAACGACGCTTCTGAAACTTTGGATAAGCTCATACTCTTAAGAAGAGAACTTTTTAAAAAAGGTGGTTCTTTGCAAAATTATTGTGCCGTGCTTGTTCTAAAAGGTAATTGCCATATAAACGAACCAGGCGAAGCTCAACAAGCAAAAGACGCCTACGAAGAAGCAGAGAAAGCTTTTAAAATAATGACGGAAGGGCAGCCAAACCTGGATTATGCTTGCACATTAAGCAATTTGGGTGAGTAGAATATACATGATTTTTATAAATTTGGTGAACTCCTATAGTTAATGTACCGATATCATGCAATACCTGAATATCGATTTTATGTAATATCGGAATCATTTAAATAATAAAATAATGCAATGTATCTTTTCAGACAAAAACGTATTAACAAACAATGGCAGGGATTATTTTAAGGAAATTTATGACTGCACAGACAGCAAAAAGGGATAATTAACATTTGTACTGCCTCGTACTCAGGCGCTTTAACTAATTATAATACATGAAGTATTCCGCAAGGCAGGCGACGCGCAAAGCCTTCTGTCGTCACTACAATACTTCATGTAAACTTGGCATACGTGCATCGCTGTTTTTTTACAAAGAGACGCCTGGGTACGATGCAGACATTTGCACGAGCATTATCAATAGGATTCAAACACTCATTAATAATTCGTAAGCTTATTGGCAAATCGTGTCAACCATAATATGTCACGTACAGTGGCTTTAAGCCTGATAAAACACTCCTAATTTGTATTCTTTATATAAAGAATTCTAATAAGGTAGTATCTATTGTTGTTGTGTCCTCATTAGAATTGTATTGTAGTACCGTCTATTGAATTTGTGGTCGTGTTTAAAGCCGTTTATTAAATTAAGGTTACAGGACATCCTTTTTGGCGTTTTGCGGAAAATCGCTACTGCGCGCTCAATATCAGTCCGATTTTCATCAAATTTTCACCAAATGTTCTCCAGTGCATGCAAAATATGATAAAGTTGTAAAATTAACAAACAATAAAATAATGTAAGAATTATTCAGGAAAATCGTAAATCGCGGTACCGTTACGCTTTTGAGTTGTGCTCCTGCTGGTTTTAAGTTATATTTATGAAAATATCATTTTTATACAGTAAAATAGTTCTAAAAAATTGTGTTTCAGAAATTTTTGTTTATTTCGTCATTCCGCTGATATGGCGATTTCTTTGAAGACTGCAATATATTTCTGAATTGTTTGGGTGAATTGCTCTTTATTTTTAAAATATCCAAAATTTAAAAAAAGCCGAACACAGTTTTGAAACTGACGTCTTTAGCTATGTCCTGCGAAGATTTGAGAAAAATTGGTTAAAAGCCGCAGGAGCACAACTCGTTTGAAAGCAAAATGCAGCAAAATGTATTTTATTAAATAACTCTGCGAGTTTTCAACATTTTTTGGTCAAACTTGGTCAGATGGTAGGACTTGTCTAATGCTTTCATGGAAACCAATAAAAAAATTTAGGCAAAATTAACACTCAAAGGTGTTCTGTAACATTAATAAACTTGCAAGTCGTGTTTTATTTCTGTAAACCACTCGCGCAGTAATACTGACGGCGCTTTTTGCAAGACTTAGTTTGCCACTTTGGAAATTAAATGCCCCTTTGGAATATTTCCGTGGATGTTGGTTAGCAAATTTGGGATAATTCAGGGTTTATTTTAACGCGCAGTTCTGCACAAAATGTGCAATTCTAAACCCATTTGTGCAGTTCTTAAAACACAAATGTGCAGTCACCAAAATAACAAAAATAGCCTTAATTAAAATAAAAAACAAACAAAAATAGCTTCATTTACTCGTTTCCCTTGTGGATGCTCCAGAAAATTCCAGAAATGTTGTCATTAATTGAGCATCAAAAATATAAACATTTTCTGGGAGAGAACTCTATATCCTCCTATTTTCCTCACAAATTACTTACGTGCGGGGTGATGTAAAAGAAGGTAAAATTGGAGCGAGCGAAGCTCCCCAAAAGAGATTAGAGTGGGTGAACCTGATATTCTTTGCTGCCTCAAATGCAAATTTAAGGTTGTTATACATTGAATATCCATGATTCCCAGTTACATGTTTTGAAACAGTTTTTGTGAGTGTTGGGTAAAACAAATCTTTTCTAAAACTTAAGAGCCTCTAGATTCAAATTGTTTTGGGGAACACCCCCTAGCTCCCGCACCCAAAATCGTTTGTCCGGCCTTTCTCCAATACTCCCATCAAACCACACCATTTTTCTGTCACCTATATGCAGGTAAAAATAATATATTTTGACCCCCCCCCCAGTCAAAACCCGTTGCCTTCGTAACATCCCTATATGTGCAGTTCTAAATTTTTCTTAAAATAAACCCTGTAGGATATATTAGTCATGCATGGTGAGTTCAGTCTGCAAACTTCTAATAAGGCAATATATATATGTTATTTACCGGCTGCGAGGTCCGGATGAGAAAAACTGTGCCCGAGGTCTTGAAAACGGCCCGAGGGCGAGGGACGTTTTCAAGACCGAGGGCACAGTTTTTCTCATCTGGACCGACGCTGCCGGTAAATAACGTGTTTATTTTTTATCAGATGTAAAAATTAAATTCATTAAAATTCCAGTGTTGCTTGTGAACTAATTTGAGATCAGTGCAGTTGTTTATTTTGAAAGCGAGGCCACAGAGTAGAGACATACAGAGACGTAACTAGTGTACCCACCTTTTTTGTGCGCATGCTCGGCAAGTTACTAGATGCATGCATCTGATTGGATGACGATCCGATGACGACTCACTTTAAACTTGCTGAGCACGCGCAGTTGATCATTTTTCGCCCGGTCGCCTGAAAAAAAGTGGGTACATGACAACGTAATCTTCCGCAGTGTTTACAACGGTCAGTTACGTCTCTGTATGTCTTATCTACTCTGTGGCGAGGCTGACAAAAATTGAAAAGTTGAAACTTGAAAAATATAAAACAAGAGTACGAAAACTCGAGAAAACTGGCAAAAAAAAACACACAAAAAGACGTGTAGTTTCAGTAACAATTTACATGCTTTTTTCATGAATATGGTAGCAGAAAAGCTTTGGAATATAAAAATTTGTAAGCCAGGCGTTTTGGCTTCGACAATTTCAGTTGCTTCTGACAACTACAGATTCATGTTCAGATCCGACTCAAAAACACATAAAAATGAATCTGCTTTGATTTAATCAACGTTTTCCAACTAAAAGGACAATGAAAAAGGTACGTTATTTTTATATTTTCTGGTTTCACTGCTGCAGTTAAACCTTTCTTTATGGGAAAACATTTATTTTACAATATTTGTTTAAGCTGTAATTTTTTCGCTTCGAAGTGGCCGATTAATTGGCCGAATACATAAGCATTTAAAATATATATAGTTTTTCGGCGTAATTTTTGTACATGTCAAATAACTTTCCGTCGCATTTCTTTCAAAATATTGTCAATTTTGGTGCACATCGTGCTTAGTATGAAGTCTTTAGGGCTTGATGCAATTCATTTTCGTATTTTGACTATCGCTAGGCTACGTTTTTCCAACGTTTTGGGCAGATTTTTTCGTTTAAAAATTTTTTCACCCCTAATATTTTGCCGCGAAAACCAGAGCGGGCAGTTGCATTTCACAGCGGGCAGTTGCGTTTCAGAGCGGGCCGAATGCAAAAAACCGGCCCGCTCTGAAAGGCTCCTCAGCCAATCAGATTGCTTCATTTTGATTGATAAAAAATAAATCATAAAATGTTCTAACTATTAAATTCCTTTGTTAATGTGAGTTGAATTATTTACAAAGACTTCATTCATAATTAACCAATATCTTTTTCATGTTGTAATAAATTTGAATCCTAAATGAGAATAATTTTGATACCTATCGACAGACCGTTCCAGAAAGTAGTAGAGCCTCGTTTTTGTTATTGGGACGCTTGGGTTTAAAGTAATGAAGCTTTATAGCCAAAATGACGCGTAAAATATGATTAACAAGGGTGTATATATATTTAGCGAGGGAAGGGTAGTTGATGAATTAAACAGAATTAGTGATCAAGGGTTGTACTGTATCTAAATATGTCCCTCCTAGCTAGCAAGGGAGTACAGTATCTAGATGGAACCCTGCCATATAGTATATAGGTGTGTGGAATCTTCGATAATTAATAGAAAAGGACTTACACCCATGCAACAATACATTTTAAACTGCAGGCTACTATAACCTTATCGGAAACTTTTCATTACTTTTACTAATTTGTCGCTTATAATTAGCGTGCGTGCAGACTGTGCAGGCTACCGGTTAACTAGCTGCATGGAGCAAATCTGACGATGCAAGGATTATTTTAAGGTGCAGTCATAACAAATTTAGGCAGTAATATTTTGGGATTTGTGCAATAATAAATGAGATTTTGCGCAGTAATAAACTTCTCTATAATACTGTATTTTGAAAATTTGTTTTTAATTACCAATTATACTTGTGTAATTTGTAGCACGAACCAAGTCACTCAGTTTCTTGCCATGTTTTTGCGTGTTCACGTATCAGATATATTTAATAATTAGGGTAGACTTTTATGGCACGATACCTGATATAGTTGGGTGCACTAAGAATAACTTAATTATACCTTTCTTGATTCTTTCTGTGTAGGAAATGCTTGTTTTATCCTAAATCAGTGGGAACAAGCAATCTCGAAATTGCAACAAGCACTTGAAATAAAGAGATTCATTTATGAAGAAAAAGCAAAACCAGAGCGAGAGGTGGCTTTAGCTTGCCGCTTCCTCGCCAGAGCGCTGTTTAAACATCAAGAATATGAGAAAGCACTGCCTTACTTCCAAGAAGCGTTGGAATATTTTGAAGTTAACCAGTCAGCAGATGATGAAACGAAATGTGTTCTTCACATTGCTCTATGTTACGGAGGTTTGAAAAATCTTGTTAGTGCACTGGAAACCTTCAGAAAAGTCGAAGAATTGTGTGTCAGAGAGTCAGTTAGCGACAGCGTACGGCTGGATATTCATAAAACATTGGCAGACACTTTCACTGAGGAAGAATACGGAGATAGATCTGAGGTATTGTATCACCTTAAAGAAGCCGAAGCTATCTTTAAGCAAATAAAGGGATCCGCAACGGAGGAAGATGAACTTTTAGAAGTTCAGGCAAAGATCTTGAGCCTGGAATTTTAATGAACCACTATATACTGTTAATCGTTCCTATATATTGACTATATTTTGGCAACGAAATCAGCTACGATTATGTAGAAATAATTAACACGAACACAACTGTCAATAGTCATTTTAGGTTTTGTCTTATCTGAAAATATAATCGCTATAAATAGAAGAGCCAAGGCGGGTTTCATTAAGCGCTAAAATATCAATTTTTCATCACGTAACATGAAGGTGTTTTGGCAGGTGATTAAGCATACCATTTTAAACCCCTTGTTTTTGGAATGTTCCTTGGCCTTTTCTCGATTCAATCCTTAGATTTTAAAGTGTTTGCCATATTATTTTGCAGTAGAACACTGCCTTCTCGATTTAATTGCAATTAATATTGTTGTTATCTAAAAATGTTAGATTGTTTGAAATATATACAATTTGATTTTAATACAATGTTTGTTTGTTTTACCTTCTTCGCAAGTTGCGGACCATCGTTTCTCACTACCAAGGACGAGATAACTATTTCTGTATTACCGGAATCTTTTTCGAACTGCTTTGCTAGGTCGGTAACTACATATGTCATTGGTTCCAGAGTGTATAATCAGCTTGTCTGGATGCTTGCGTATGGTTGGTTTCAAGAAATCACTCATATCGTCAGCATTTCCGCCAGAAAACGAATTGACTGATACATTTTGCTGACCAGTTGATAGTTCCCAGCCTTTAACTATCTTATCATGGAGTCACCTGCTACAACGACCGATATCTTTGTCTTTGTTTGTTGTTGTTCTTCTTTCTGTAACCGTATCTGGTCGTCTGATAGATTCTTATTACATTCGTTTGTAGATTAATTGCTTATTTTTTATTTAGATTTTCCTTTTTTTCCTTCTTGTTTCGTGCTTGATATTGAGGAATTGCTTTAGCTGTTGTTGATTGACCGGCTTCTTTTAGATGGTCTTGGAGCGCGGAAAATTTATTTTTTAATTGAATATTTGAATTCAATACATCGTCTCTTTATTGCATTTTGCAATCATCCGCTTCATTGAACTTTCTTTGATTATCACAATTTTCCATGTTTATCGAGACGTTGTTTTTTTCTTTCGCACTCGACCCTAGTACTAACAGGCGCATGGCAGTAATTAAGCTATCTCTATTGTAGGTCTGCTAAAATGTAAGAGATTGTTCGTCCTCTCAGATCTTTGTTTTCAGTTATAAGGCAAAGATTCTCGCTTTTCAATTTACTGTTCTCCTCTTTTAGGATTTACTGTTTTTCTCTTTTACTGTTTTCCAATTCCCATATTTTAGTCTGGTCAGGCTCCTTTGTGCTTTAAATTGAAATACTTTTAATTAATAGCATTATTATTTTCATTTACGTCTACGTGTAGAGAGTGTATAAAAAACGCAACCTCGGAATTTCCCAAGAAATCGACATTGTTTTACTATCGTTCCAATTGAAGTGTCCTCAAATATTGATTCAATACATATTACCTAAGGCTGACCAATTCATTTGATAGAAAATTCATCAACTTGCTGTTACTTTTAAATGAGCCAATTAGATTCCGTTTCAGAACCGATTGACCAATAGGAAACGCACAGGAAGTAAAAAGAAATTTGAATTCGTATGAATTGGTCAGCCCGAAGTAATGTATTGAATCAATATTTAAGGAACACTTCAATTGGAACGACAGTAAGGAGAAAAGATTTTAGGTGCCGAGGATTTATTTTGTGCTTTACTGGGTAAATATTAGTCTCCTATGCAGACCTACTTTAGGGGGTTTGGGCCGGCCACGTACGGTCTGCTTACTTTCGCTAGCAATTCGCTTTCCCACTGTATTCCATTAGCCAATAGCATTCAAATGCACAAGACACGCCCACTTTGAATGTCAACTGTAAACTTGTAAGATGTAAATGTAAACAAGGAGCGTGCGATAATCGAATAATAATACGGTATATACGTATTTAAATGGCCATAAATGTGAACAGATCGAGTTTTCTGATCAATAGCAGTCGAAGTAGAAAATATTGAATATTTTTCCGACAAATGCACGCGATAGGTCGAAGGCTTAAATGTATATAAAACTATTCACTGGTAATACTTGTTTTGAAATTGACGCGACTATGACGGCATGTACCGGGTGTCCCAAAAAAAGTACTCCGGTTTGACTTGTAATAACTTCTAAACAAGTAAAGCTATCAAACAGAAATAACTTGCATTAAATAGAGGAAGGCCCTAACTTAGATTTTGATATATTACAGTTGTATTTTACTTAACAATTCACGGAGATATTAATGTTCAAAATCGGGAGCATATTTTTGAATGTGTCTAAAATTAGCGAAAATCGGCATATCAAATATTAACTTCAGCGTTTGTTAGCTTGATGACATATCAGGCTAACTTGTATTTCAGCGAATTGTCGTTAGGGTTTGTAAGGGATATGGCATAGATTTAGACATCTTACATGTAAGTCTTAGCCCATTCCTGAAATATGAACATGTAAGTCTTAGCAGTTTCCTGAAATATGAACGTACGAAATTATGCAAGTATTTAATAGGTCTTTACAAACTTATAAGGTAGATGAAAGACCATGCAAGGCAGGCGCTTAAATTTTAAAATTTCTTAATCAAAATAGCCTAATTTTTTTATGTTTTTCATGGATTCAAAACAGAGTTGATTATTTCTCGGTTAGAGCAGGATGAATATTATTCTGCAATGAAGGAAATAATATTGCTTTTTAGTGTGAAGTTTCACTTCACACTGTTGTGATGGCTGGTGAATTCACACGAATCAGTCAGACAGGCAATCAGATAGTCAGGCAATCAGTCAGTCATGGAGTAAACTTTCCGGGGGGGGGTGTACGATTTATGTTCGCAGTGATTTATTGTACTTAATCAGTGCTTTGAAGG